GTGTGTGTGTGTGTGTGTGTGTGTGTGTGTGTGTGTGTGTGTGTGTGACAATGTTGGTTTCTCCCAACAGAAAGGTAAGATTCTTAAAGACAAGGGTTGGGTTTTTTTTGTTTTGTTTTTTTGTATTTTGATGCCTGACACATTGTAGTCACTTACTGCTTGTTGAATGACTGGCACACAGTAACATTTAATGCTTCTTGAATAAATGACTTAAACTTATTTACATATAGGTTTTATCTATTCCTCTTCCCTGGACCCGTAGGAAAATGTAATCTCATTGGGAATGAGGACTTTGTTATTTTTCATATTTGTATTCCCAGTGACTTGGGTAAATTATTTGAAGTTAATTATGTGTTTGGGGAGGGGCATCAAAAAAAAAGAAAAGTTACTGAAAACAAACTTCAACCATTTTACAATTTTGCTAAGGACCACCTAAGGATTACCATATACCATGTTGCTGTGTTTTTGTGGTGCCAGGCATGTCATCTTACTTCAATCAATCAACATTTATTAAGCTAGTATTATTTATTAAGCTGGCACTGTGCTAAGCCCTGGGGATACAAAAAGAGGAAAAAGGATGTCCCTGCCCTCAAGGAGCTCACAGTCTAATGGAGGGGCAACAAATACAAACAAGCTATATACAGGATAAATAGGAATAATAAACAGAGAAAAGGCACTAGAATTAAGAGGAGTTGGGAAAGGCTTCCTATAGAAGATGGGACTTTAGTTGGAATTAAAAGGAAACCAGGGGATCTAGTAGGCAGAGTTGAGGAGGGAGGACATTTCAGGTATAGGGGACAACCAGAGAAAATGCTGGGAACTAAGAGATGGAATGTCTTGTTTGTGGAATAGCAAGGAGGCTAGTGTCACCATATCAAAGAGTACATTGTGGGGAATAAAGTATAAGAAGAAAATGATAGGAGGATGGCATCTGGGCCATGTCCAGTCATTCTGATCTATATCTTGCCACTGGACTCAGATGGCTCCAGAGGAGAAAGTGTGAGGCTGGTGACTTTGCACATCCCTCCCTCACTTAAATCCAATTCACTTGCAAGTCATGGCATCATGTTCTTGATGTGATGGTCCTCTTTGAGAACAAGGACAAACAACAATTTTTTGATCCTAGAGGCAATGGGGAGCCACTGGAGTTTATTGAGAGTGATATGATTAGACCTACAATATAGGAAAATCACTTCAGTGGCTGAATGGGTTGGAGGGCAGAGAGACTTGAGGCAGGCAAACCCACTAGCAGGCGACTGCAATGGTCCAAGAGGTGATGTGGGCCTACATCAGAATAGTGGCTGTGTCAGAGAAGAGGAGAGAGCATATTAGGGAGATTTTGCAAAATCACTGCTTTCACTGCTAAACCTGAAAAAGTTTACACTAAATGACTCAATTCCTCACTTCTCACTCTTATCACCTTGTAATCTGGACCCTCTTTCAAAACTCTTTACTGAAAATACTCTCTCAAGGTCATTGTTACTTCCCAAACCAGCAGCCTTTTCTCAGTCCTCTTCTTTGCCTCTTCTGTAGTATCTGGCAGCGTCAAACATTGTATCATACTATTGAATAATCTCTCTTCCCTTGTCTTCCTATACAGTACATTTGCTTGTTTTTCTCTTACATCTCCAATTTCTCCTCTTCTGCCTCTTCATTTTCTTAAGGTGAGAGTACCCTAAGGTTCAGTCCTTGGATCTTCTACTCTCTTTTCCATTATACTCCCTTTGGCCATGCCATTTACCCCAAAAGCTCAGCTATCATTTCTACTGGCCCAACTCCAGGTTTGGTCTCTGTCCTGGGCTCTGGACCTACATGTCTGACTGCTTACCGGACATTACTTAGATGTCACACTGGCAACTCAAACTTGACATGCACCAAACCAATCTTGTTCCCTTAAATCATCTTCTTCTTTCACTTTATCTATTGGAGGTACAACTATTCATCAGTTCTTCTACACTTAAAACTTAGGTGTTATCTTTGATTTTTCACTCTCCCTAATGTTTCAAATCCAATAAATTAAATTTAACATTTAAATGTCTTGCTCATTTTACCTCCATATTTCTAGAATCTGTTCCTTGCTCTCCATTCCCATTGACACCATCCTAGTTCAGATCCTCATCACTTCTTGCCTGGATTACTGCAAAAGTCTCCTTACAGGTCTTTCTGCTTCTTCCACTCTTCATATAGCTTTCAGAATAATCTTTGATGGTCACCTTAGTCCTCAACTTCACTAATGTTCAGTGGCTCCCACAATTTCCTGACTAAAGGTCAGACTTTTTTGCTTGGTGCCACACTACCTTTCTAGCATTCTCTCATATTACTGTCCTCTATTATCTATGTTCCAGCAAAACTGGAAAATTTATAAACAAACACATATTGCAAATATAGTATTCCTCATCCACATATTACTAATACTGAAGAAGAATCCAAGTGTTTTTCAAAGTTCCTTGAATACACTCTGCACTTCATCTCTGTGCTTTTGACCTCTCTGTTCCCTAGGCCTGGAATGTCATCCTTTGCCTGTTCAGGTCCTCTACGTTTAAAAGTCCAATTTAAATGCCAACCACTTCAGGATGCCTTCACTGACCCCATCCCTCTCTAAGAGCCTATCCCCGTAGACCTCACAAAGCACATTTTTTGCACCTCTCTAATGGTCAGGTGTATCATCCTGCTACTAAACTGAAAGGCTGTACATGCTTATCTAAACTTTGTACTACCCCCAGCACTCAGTACAAAGCTCTGCAACCAATAGAAGTGGAATGGCCGGAATGAATTCCTGTCAGCCAAGGATTCTTCTGTCTTGTGACAGAACCTGGAGCCCTCGAAAGCGACAGGAAAGCTCGTTATCCAGAAGAAATCATTTCTCCGATACTCCTCCTTTCCCTACAGCTTCTTCTTTTATTTTTCTCGCCCTCTCGATTTTTTCTCCATTTTAGTTCGGGTCTGCACCCCCGACCCACTCCAGTCAACTCCATTTTCAACTCCATAGCCCAAAGCAGGAGTGGAAAACCCCCAGGCAAGCAGTTTGGCTCGCAGATCAACTCCACGCATGCGCAATTGGTCTGGCAGGCTGCATCGCGAGAGGTACTGTGCGCCGTCGGTTGCCCTCCAACCGGCGGCCCAGGCTCCGCCAATCAGGGGCCACCTTGTTGCCCGGAGGGCCCCTCCCTCCATCCGGGTTTGGCAGTATGGTGTCAGAGGAGGGTCATGAACCGTAACTCCCTTTGAGGTAACCGCAGCCTGGGTCCCTTGTAGCTTGGGCCAGGTCGCCGTGCCCTCCCTGGCCTAGCTTCTGTGTCCCTGTCCGTTGGGGAACAGGGAGCCGGGGGAGTCGGGCTCCTGTTCAGGGAGCAGTCCGCCCGCCGGTCAGCAGGGCAGCCCATGCAGCTGAGGGGCTGCGGCGCCGGCGGCGGTGGTGGAGGCGGCGGCCTCCGCGACTCCGGAGCGGGCAGGGGGAGGGGGCCGGGCAGTCTGTGGCTAGGGACTTTCCTTTGGGCCCGGTGATCCCTTGGCGGCCCGGAGGAAGGGAAGGAGAAAGGGAAGCAGCAGGAGGAGGAAGCCGGGCCACAGCATCGCGAGCGAGCGAGCGGCGGAGCAGGAAGATGCTGCTGTCCCTGGTGCTCCACACGTACTCCATGCGGTATGCCCTCCCGGCCGCCGTGATGCTGGGCACGGCCCCCACCTATATCTTGGCCTGGCTGGGCTGGCGCCTCTTCTCCTTATTTCTGCCGGGAGCACGCATCTATCAGGAGGTGGACGATCGCTTCTACACCATCTACCAGAGCATGGTGCTCTTCTTCTTCGAAAACTACACCGGCGTCCAGGTGAGCACCCGCCTCTCCCTCATCCTTCCGGCCTCCCTCCCCCTGTTCCGGAGAGGCCCCCTTTTTGCTCCCAGTTACCTCAATTCCCCACCTCCCTTGGGCCTCCGGTTGCACCGGGACTCAGAGGAGCAAGGAATTGACGTCCACTGACCCTACACGTGGTGGGGACAGAGGCTGGATCCGTAGCATAGACAAGGGGCCGATTGTAGTCTGTAGGCCCCAGTTTCTCTGGGAAGACTTTGAAAAAGGTCCCTTCCAATCTCACCCTCGTTGATCCTCATTGATGCTTTTGGCACGGCTGGCCCAGTTTTGGAACCAAAAATTTATCAGACATAGGTTGTGCTTTAAGGTTGGGAAAGATTCTCAACAGATGCCCCAGTTCTGTCCAGCCTGTCCAGAGGCTCTTTGGGCTATGTTAAGGTAGTCTTACTGTTTTGCTACCTAGATGAAAGTGCCCACCACTGGAAGGAAGTGCTTCTGTGGTTGCCCTAAGTATAAATAATAGGGAACCTAAAAAAAGTTAATTTCCCCCTCCCACAAAATATTGAGTAGAGCTTATTAGTAGTACTCAAGTCCTTGTAAATATAAGTGTGGCATGTAAATTGATTACTTCTGACTTTTTGCCATAGAGTTAGCTGAGAATTGCCAATGTTATGACTCGTTTATTGCAGAATTCAGGAGTGTGTTTCTAATTGTTTCTTCCTAAAAATGGTCTGTAAAGGTGAGCAGATGTTACCTTTTGGAAATGAAACACAACCTCACAGATTCTTCTCCAGTATTAGTAATCTGTAGGTGAAGGAATTAGCCTCTCATTTGGCCAATCTTCTTTGTGATTTTTAAAAATTTACTAATCACAGAATGCTTATCCTTGCTCTATTGTGTTTATTAAATGTATACACAGAATATGCCAGGGTGAAGCAATAAGATGTATTAGGAACTCTAACCCTAACTTCAATTTCAGCTGCAGTGTTTTTATAAAAAAAAAAAAAAAGGTGTTTTGATTTTTATAATTTGAAAAATAAGAGCTAGCCTATATTTAATACTATTTTGTTGAGATTTATAGTATGAATAATTTAGACTTTGATTTTTGAATGCTGTAGACATTGTTTAGCCTTCAACATGTAGTTGGAAAACTTACTTTAACTTCATTTTGCTGACCGAGGTAGTTTATACCTAAGGGGAAGTGGTGAAATATGGATTAGAATTTTCACTTTGTGACTCCTAGACCTAGTTTTTTGTTTGTTTTTACTTTCAGAATAGCTATTTCTATTTCTATGCTTGGCATTCAGCTCCTGATGACTCTGCAAGGAAGTTGCTAATTTTCATTTAAGTTTTGCTAAAGCTGAGTTGAAGAGGGAGAGGAGAGTTGAAAGAGGTTTAGAAAGAAATAGAATCTAATGGAAGCTAACCTCCCTCTAACCAATAGCTGTTTAAGTGGTTCACTGGACAGAAGGGAGAAGCATTGTTTCAGACTGTTCTATTAAATTACTTTAAAAATAGCTCATTGGAGATTGTGGGTAGATGGCTTTTTGCTGTGCTCTGATTAATGTATTTCAGTTTCTCTATACACCACTTATGCTAAGTGTAGGATTTTCTAGAAAGATTGGATAACTTTACTGCATAATAGTTTTGTTTCTTGTTCAATAAAAAAGAAATTTAAAAAATGAGTAGTATGCCATGCATTCTTGTTCTATCTCCTAAATATTTCTATTAAAGAAGTTTTTAAAAATATAAAAATTATGTTTACTCTTATTCACTATTTTGGAAAGTTCCATTTTGGACATTTTTTAACATAACTATTAAATAGCTATATTGACAGCATGCCCAGAAATAGTAGAATAAAACTTCATTTATTTGCTTCTAACTAATTCAGAATTTGTGATCATTTTAGATCAGGGTTGAGTTGATCCAGTTGATCCAGTGTATTTAATTTGCATAGTAAATTTCCCCCCCCCCCCCCGAAGTTCAATATTCATGAGGGAAATAGCTTGATGATTTAAAAATAAACATTTTAAAAATACTCATTAAACAGCGCTCTCAATTTAAATAGTAATTAGCTTTATTTAATTTGGGTAAGTGATAATTTACAGTCTGTATTGTAAAAGGTCCTGTTACTGGATTCAACAAAGTGCCTACTTTGTGAAAGAGGAGTCTGGGGGACCTGGATTCAAGTCCTGACTCATACACACTGGTTTTTTGACCCTGAGTAAGTCACTTAACTTTATAAATTCTAGAATAGTTTCCAGTCTGCATTGGTAAAGGGAGTTTCTTCATGAGGAGCTCCTATACTGTCAAAATTATAGGTCCAGATAAAAAATGTGAAAGACATTTAGCTTCTGAACCTCCACTAGGCAATCCTTCATTCCACTTACTATGCATAATTGCAAGTCATAATTGCATTAAAAACTTATAATTTAGGCTTTCCCCCATTAATTTAATTTTACTCTCATCTTTTCAACTTCCTTTCCTATCAATAGTTTGAAATGTTGAGGCTTGATGTGTTGTTTAGTATTTGGACCTTTTAGTGTCCAGATTGCTGAACAGGGTTAGGACTGTGATTTTGTTGGGTACAAAACTTCCTTAGGAAAAACAACTCAAAAGTGCAAGCAAGTCTTACTGATGGTACATAGGTAAGTGACTAGTATGTCAACTGCAGCTGGCTGGTTCAGTAGATAAAGTGTTGGGCCAGGAGTCAGGAAGATCTAAGTTTCAATGTGACCTCAGACTATGCCAAAAAAACCCAAATGCAGTCATGACTAATTGGATAACAAAAAGCATAGCAATTATAATGCCTTAGTTATATTTGTGTAGTACTTTGCAATTCTTATTTTAAGATATAATTTATGAGTCTATATATAGAGAGATATTTTACGTATATGTCTACATAATTATAGATATATAATATCTATGCCTACCAGTAAAACACTTAAGACCATTATGCAGTTTCTATCATTCTAAAAGAATAATTTGTGAAATTGCCTATCTTATTTTATATACTGTTTTGTACTGCTATGGTGTTTTATTAATAATATAAACCCCTTACTTTGTAAATGTAAATGAATTTCACTCAAGTCTTTTGAGTTTAAGTACTTCAAGAACATTTTATTTTATTTTATTTTTGCTTTTTGGTGAGGCAGTTGGGGTTAAGTGACTTGCCCAGGATCACATATGTTGAGTGTCTGAAGCTGGATTTGAACTCAAGTCCTCCTGACTTCAAGGCCCGGTCTATCCACTGTGCCACCTAGCTGCCCCTCAAGAACATTTTACAATAAGATAAGATCTTATCTTATTGTAGGGGTGTTAAGTGACATCCCTAGTCTCATAGCTAGTATGTTGGTGATTAAATGAATGAAAAAGCACTGAAGTAACTCTTATAATGTGCCAAGCATAGTGTTTAAGGAGATAGAAATTATAAAAGCAGACAGTCCCTTTTATCTAGTAGCTTTTACTTTAATAGTGGGAGAATTTAACACAAATTAGGGAAGTAATGGCATTACAGTAATTTTAATTTGAAATGGTGAATGGAGTCCTGGAATAGATAAATGAAGATGATGATGATAATGATAAACATTTATATAGAACCTGCTGTGTATGTGCCTGGCACTTTGCTAAGTACTTTGCAAATATCTCATCTGATCTTAGCCCTTCGAAGTAAATACTATTATATATCCCCATTTTACAGATGAGGAAACCAAGGCAGACAGTGGTTTAGTGACTTGCCCAGGATCACACAGCTAGCAAGTGTTTGAGGCAGGATTCAAGCTCAAGTTTTCCTGATTCCAGGTCCAGTGCTTTATCCGTTGTTGTGCCACCTTGTTGCCCCTAAGAGATTGACAGCTCTTTCCGAGTTCAGTGAGCTAATAAGAGATGGAGTCAGAATTAAAAAAGAAAAGCTTTTTTAGATATGTTGAATTGAAACATGGGAATCAAAAGACCCTGGATTTAGCTCCCCCCTGCTACTATTCCAGGGATAATCCTTATTTAGAAATATGAAGAATATCACTTGATACATAATTCTACGTACTAAAATAGTGAATTTTAGTCATCTTTTTATCATTTTTTTCAGTTTAAATCTTTTTTATACATTTTATTTTATTCAGAACTTAAATAAAACAAGGATTTCCATAACATAGTGAAATAGGAAAAAAAAGATGATTGTACATGAAACTGGGACTCTATTATGTATAATTTACTATTCCGTTTAAATATATAGTAAAGTTATAATTATTGAGGAATGTTAATGTTGACATCATATAACTTTCTTTTTTTTCTTGCCCCCACTCGAGGTGGCTACCATTAGACACAAATATATGCGTTTATACATGCATACATACGTACATATACATATATAATACATATATATGTAAAATCATTCTTTACATACTTCTATTAGTTCCTTCTCTGGATGCAGATAGCATTAGTTCACATTTATAAAAGTGATTGCCACTACTATACATTTTTTAAAATGTCAAAATAGGACCGCTTAAATCCAAATAAACCTGCATTATTTTGGTGAAAAACCATTTCCTAATTGTGCTGTGTGAAATAAAGGGAGTGTGGAAAGGAAATTTGCAGTAACCATGAGGGCACTTTCTAAGTCTGGAATCTCCATGAAAGAGGTGCCCCTCTCTGACAATATTTCAACAGCTGCTCGTTCCTGTCCTCTGTTCTTGGTCTAAACTTGAATGAAATGGTTTTTTCTTCAAATACCTTAAAGGGAGGAGGGGGAAAGGGATGTATTACTAAATAACTTGTTTTTTCTTTCCAATGGGTAGTTTTTAAATGATCCTGTTATGAAACTTTAGAAATGAATTCCTTGTTCTTTCCCTCAGCTATTTTTTTTTACTTTTTAAAAAATTCCATTTTATTCATTTTTAGAGTAGTAGTGATTCCTGTCCTTTTCACCAAGTAAAACATTCTTGACCTTTTTTAAAATTTCTTCCAAGGCTCAACTTGGATGCCATCTCCTACAGCAGATCTTTCCTGATCTCTCCCTAAGA